TACTTGGTGGGTCGTCTTTTTGAAATAGTCAAGGTTCTTTAAACGTGGTAGCCTATTCATATGTTGTATTTACTTAAAATAAAAACGTTTTTCTTAATGTAGGTCGTTCCGTGTCATTTAGCAGTGTTTTGTTATTGGAACTGAATAGCTGTCTCGTAAATTTACCGAAAATTTTTAGCAACATGGATGAAGACCTAGATGGTATTGATGATAATGAAGACTATGAACTGGTGAGTTGTAAATGGTTTACGAGGTTACGATGCTACAGATTCGAAACGTAATTCACACTGAGTCACTCATTTTTTTTTTCTTATTTTTAGCAGTTGACGATACTTGTGTACCTTAAATTATTTCAGGAATATTCAGATGATACAGGTAGTGAACCAGACGTTGATTTAGAAAACCAGTACTATACAGCGAAGACTCTAAAGGATGAAAAGAAAATTGATGAAGCCTTGCAGGGTTTTGAAAGGGTTCTTGAACTTGAAACTGAAAAAGGCGAATGGGGGTTTAAGGCGTTGAAACAAATGGTTAAAATTACGTTTGCCACCGTAAGTGTTACAGGTTATTTTGTATTCTAATAGGCGCATACTAATTTCTTCTTTTTTCTACAGCCGTAAGAATTCTTGAAATGGACGGCTACTATTACTAAGTGTTAGTTTTATCGAACTGTTAGGCTTCTGAATTGTTCTTTTGCGTTTTTTGGTGAATGCTTACTAAGGAAAAGGTTTTGAAGCCTTAACACATTTTAGGGAGATTACGACTCTATGATTGAGTATTATAAGAAACTGTTGACTTATATTAAAACTGCAGTAACAAAAAATTACTCGGAGAAATCAATTAATGCTATACTTGATTATATATCAACATCAAAACAAATGGATCTACTACAAACTTTTTATGAAACCACTCTTGACGCCCTGAAGGTTAGTTCTGCATCTCTTCACTAGTTGGAGTTTTAGCGTTTTCTTTAACTGCTCAGAAAGTTTGATTAAAATTTGTTGGAAGGATAATAATAAGGACTTTACGTGAATTATACGTGTTGTAGGTGGCGAAAAATGAACGCTTGTGGTTTAAAACAAACACAAAGCTTGGAAAACTTTATTTTGACAGGAAGGAGTTCAGTAAGTTGGAGAAGATCGTCAAGCAGCTTAGAGCTTCATGCAAGGTAACATTTTTTTGGAGTTACATTTGAAATGGTGTCTAGAAAAGAATGAAATTTTTTTTAGAAATAACCTAGTATTTCTGGCACCGGATTTACCCATTATTTACTTACTCTTTTTAGAATGAATTGGGGGAAGAAGATCAGAAGAAAGGTACTCAGCTGCTCGAAATATACGCTCTAGAAATACAGATGTACACGGAGCAAAAAAACAATAAGGCGTTAAAAGCTCTGTATGAACAGAGTTTGCACGTTAAAAGTGCTATTCCACATCCTCTTATCATGGGTGTTATTCGAGGTTCTTTTAACATTCTGTTGTTTACATGTTATAATTGAAGATTTTTTACGCAACTGTTAAACTACGGGGAAAGTTATAATTTTGTTCACTGAGTGATTTTTTTCTAGCTTTTAGTAATTAGTAGTTTATCTCGACTCATTAATTGTGAAGTCAATAATCTGGTGTTCATTTACTTCATTATTTTGGTTGTGGGAAGATTTTAATGGCTTTTTTTAAAGAATGTGGCGGAAAGATGCATTTGAGAGAGGGTCAGTTCGAAAAGGCGCATACTGACTTTTTTGAAGCTTTTAAGAATTATGACGAAAGTGGCTCGAGTAGAAGAAGCAACTGCTTAAAATATCTCGTCTTGGCTAATATGCTTATAAAGTAATATCTTTACTGCTTTTGTAATTCTATTTTTCAAGTGAGGAATTAATTGCTGGGTGGAACTTGTGCTTATCTTTATTGCATATTGATAATTTATTTCAGATCTGACATCAATCCATTTGACAGCCAGGAAGCAAAGCCTTTTCGTGCTGATCCTGAGATCGTTGCAATGAATAAGCTTGTAGGTGCATATCAGAACAATGATCTTTTAGGATTCGAAAACGTCTTGGAAGAAAACAGGGAAGCGATTATGGCTGATCCCTTTATACGTGAACACATAGAAGAGTTGTTGAATAACATTCGGTCTCAGGTAGTCAAAATACAATGTGTAACTCGAGCCATAACTGCCTTTGCATTTTTGATAGCGTTCTGATGCATTTTACAGGTTCTTGCTCACGTCTGCAGCCCTTATAGCAGAGTAACTCTGGCACATCTTTCAAAGGAGCTTAGGATTGATCTTGAAGAAGTTAAGTCTCTGCTTTCTGAATTAATCCTCGATGGGACGATATCTGCTTCCATTGATGAAATCAACGGAGTGCTTTTGTCGAATTCTGTTACTGCCGCTCCAAGGTTGGTAATTAAGCATTTTACAATTTGTAAAAGTTACAGAGGAATAATTGTGCATTGTCTTCTGCTTTTTGACAGATGTTCACAGTTTAGTTTCCTCATTCTTTGCACAGGATTTTTGGGCAATTTTCGCTTTTTTTTTATCAAAATTAATCGTCTCTTTGACATTGAGAAAGGTTCTAATCGTTTTTGCAGTTTAATTTTTCATGCTGTCTACCTCTGGGCTACACTAATTTGTAGTTCTAAAGAGCTCAGTATTCTTGTTTTTTTAAGAGAAACAGCTCTGGAATCATTGATCAATGAACTTGAGAAACTGGGTACTTCTATTCAGGAGCGATGTTTGTGAGAAGACTGTGTTGATTTCGTCAACCTTATGTAGCTTTACAACAATTGTATGGTCAGTTACGACCTTTTGGTTTTAATCCGCTGCGTTCAAGGAAGCGGCTGTTCTTTTTACTTTTAGAAGTTATCCTGATAGCTTACGGGTATAACTGTTAAGAGTGATTTATCCGAATGTCTGTTACATATAGGTCCACAGCTTTGTTTTTGATTTAATATTATCAGGTGCCTACGATTTTATTATAGAAGAAGCCATTAGTAATTTGTGGCTTACCTTTTTTAGAACTCACCTATTAAAAGGGGTTGAGGGGGTGATACTAAAATGCTTTTTTTTTTAAAAGGTGAGTCACTGCTTTGTTATATTTATGAATTTGTTAAAGTTTGTTTCATTACGGAGAGATGAGGAGTAGAAGTTAAATATATTTCTTGAACATAACTTTTAATTGATCAGGAAGTTTATGAGTTCCTGCGATATTTGGTTAACATCACATTCGCAAATCTGTTTCTGCTGCAATGACCTAATCTTTTTGTTTTTGCCTGCCTTTAGTATGAACAGTGTTAATGCATTTGAGGATATTGCTTCTCTTCACTTTTTTTTTTTATAATCTGAATTTTTTTACTTATTATCAAGTTGTTAAATTTTAGAGTAAGTTTATGGAATTGTAAGATTTAAGAGAAAAAATTTAAGAAGAATCAATTTGAGTAGCAAGAGATTTAGTGTTGTAAAACGGTACCAGGTATTCTGCTGTAAAAACTCTTGTTCATTTTTTCAGCATTTTCTTACGAAGCTTCCCTGTACTTCAGAAAATAAATTTTTGCGCTTGACTGGTTATGATTTCTTTCATATTGCATTAATTCTTTTCAAAAAACTATGATGAGATGTTTTATTTCTGCTTCATAACTCCTGTACGGTAGTAGCAGTAGTGAGTGTTATTTGGATGGTAACTTCTTTTGGAAGTATCAAGCTTCAAAGCGAAATATGAAATTCAGAGCCCAAATGCGCATGATTTTTGACTGAACTACTCCTGATGTACTTTGTTGCACGAAAGATTGGGACACGTCAGCCCATATGACAAAATAATAAACTTTCTAACCCACGTTAAAACTACTTTTCATTGGTTCTACTCTGATCTTAGGGTTCACCAGGCTCATTCGTGGCAACCATTTCTAAAAGTTACACAGTCCGAGGCATCTACGTCATTCCGTCTTAACAGAAGATTAATCCACCCTTGATGTAAGGAGGGGATTTTACAGTGGAACTAGTTATTTGTAGCTTATGACAGACAAAGAACTTGGCTCATATTGCTGAAAGAGTAAGGTTAGCAGGTAAGACAAAATGAAGATTGTAGAACAGATATTAGGGTACAAGGTTCTGGTTAAGTGAGTCCATCACTTAAGTCTTGGGCCCGGATTTCGTTATATTGCATAAACTCCCCCTTTTATTTGTGAGCCTAACAAAAAAAAGGTTCCCGTGGGCAGGGAAATGAGCAGCTAGCGTCCTGAACCTATTCTAAATATGCTTTTTTTCGAAGCGTTCACTCAGGTTTTCTGGCATATTCAATGTTTCAGTCTGTAGGCAAGCATGTTTCTGCGGTTCTAGTCACGTGTAGGCGCAGCTTCATTTGCCTTGAACAGCGGTAAACAATTTCAAAATAACTTTAATAAAAAAGTAAATTTCTGGGAAATGCGAAATTTAGCTCGTTAAAAAATATTTAATTTGGTGGCACAAAAAGGATACAGCAAAGGTAGCATGATCCCTACCAATTTCGGATATATTGAAAGTGCAGAAGAGGGCTGCTGAAGAATTGACAGAGAAAGTACGCTTTGATGCACTTTATCGATTGTGGGCGTGTCCAACCGCCAATAGCTCTGTTGCTGCCGTTTGGGAGAAGGTTATTGTAACGCGTACACTTTAAAGAAGCTCTGGAAGCTACTATCCTTAGCATCTAAAGGCCACAGAATCGCCCAAGTGGCATTGGAGAGGACGATATGCCTAAAGATCTAGATACTAGGAAGGAACTAGATGACCTTGTGAAACGAAGGAACGAGATAGCGGTAAGTTGAAGTCTGTTTCTCAGAAAGAAGGCGATATCTGTAATATTTAGTCTTTTTTTTTTTCAACCTTCAATCTTTGTCCTTTTTAATCCATTATCATTTTAAAATTCAGTGTACAAACGACTACCATATGCATTATTTCTAAAGTATCACAAAATTAACTGAACAAGTATATCTGAATGAAAGGAAAAGTTTTTAATGTGACAAGTGCAACAGGAGCTGTAAGTTGCCTGAAATATTTCTAAGGCTGTACTTTGGTTTTAGCAGTCCAGTTTTTCCTCCACACTAATTAGCTTGCTGTCCCATTTCTTTTTCCAATTTTTTTCGATTAAAAAAACAGTAAAAACATCGTTTTTTACAGGGACTGCTGTACAAATGACTGAGGAAAGTCAGTGTTGCTTCTTCGTTCTGTCAAAATAGTTTTCTTCAGGAGTCGTTGGCCACGCTAGAGCAGCAAATCTACAATTTCGAAGGTGCATACTTGGACGATACTGCTGATTATGGAAATATCGTTAGAGGTAATCGTCGTTTTTTTAAGCGTCATTGTTTTTTTTATTTTCT